GCCACGTGCCGCTGTAGGTCCCCAGAGCAGGGCCCTCTCGCCCTCTGACCCTGCCCCCCAACTCCACACCCGTCGGGCTGCCGCTCGTCCCGACTGTCGCCTGCTCCCTCCTCAGGCGACCCTCCCGGGGCCGGAGCCCCCCTGACCAACCCGCCTCCTTGCACTCCCAGCGCTCCTCCTCCGCGAGCTCCGCTGCCCGCCCCCGCCTGGACTCGGGCCCGGGGGGGACCTGGTGCCCAGCATGTAAGCCCCTGCCATCTGGAATGCTGTGGCTGGCCCTGGGCCCCGTCCATGCCATGGAGAACCAGGTGCTGGTCATTCGCATCAAGATTCCCAATAGTGGCGCGGTGGACTGGACCGTGCACTCCGGGCCGCAGTTACTCTTCAGGGACGTGCTGGTGAGTGCGGGGTGCGCCCAGTGCAAATCCCAGCGAGGGAGGGGCAGGGAGGGGGCGAGCGTCTTGTGTCACTTCTGGATCTGCTCCTGGTCGCGGGGCAATTGTATTTCTTTAACCGCAAGCACTGGTCCATTTCATCAACCGTGTGCCTGGCCCTGGAGAAACCGACGGGATGGAAGGTGACCTCAAGAACTGAAACACTGGATGGGGACACACACAGAAGTGATCAACTGGGAGCTGAAACGGAGTCAAGAGTCCCCCAAGTGTTTGTGGAATATCTCCGGCTTACTCCCAGGCGGCTCTTTCTACTGAGTTCTCTGAACTTTATCCTTCCTGGGGCGATGGGGTGCAAACCACCAACCTTTCAGTTAGCGGCCAAGTACTACCAGTCCTGCGCCCCCGGCTTCTCTCATCTCGATGATCCTCGAGGAATGGGAAACGGAAACATGGGCAGCTTCCTCTTGTCATGTTTTTGCAAACCCAAGACATCATTAAGGAGCCCTGGTGGTGGTGTAGGTACTATTGAGCTACTACTAACCGTTTGCAAGGTCAGCAGTTCGGATCTATCAGTCTCATTGGGAGAAAGATAAGGCTATGGGATCCTGTAGAGATTTAAAGTCTCAGGGAAAAAAAGTCTCAATAACCCAAAGGGGCACTTCTTCTCTGCCCTATAGGGTGGCTATGAGTTGGGATCCACTGGATGGCTCTCAGTTTTTGGTGTGGGCTACATAATGAGTTGGTCCCTGTAAGGTCATTGGTTCAAGTCCATCCACTGCTCTGTGGAAGACGAGGCTGGCTGTGTTAGTAAAGGTTTGTCAGAGCCCACTTCATTGCAGTGGGTTTTGGGAAAATATCATCGACTAACTAACCAACTAACTAACTAACTAACTAACTAACTAACTAACTAACCAACTAACTAACTCACAGCCATGAAGTTGATTCAAACTCACAGTGACCCTATAGAACAGAGCAGAACTGCCTCTGCGGGTTTCTGAGACTGAGAATCTTAAAAAAAAAGTTTTTAAACCAAACTCGCTGCCATCACGTCGATCAACTCACAGTGACCCCTATCGGTTTCTGAGACTGTCACTAACTGTTGACGGGCATAGAATGCCCTGTCATTCTCCCTTGGAACTGCTGCTGTCGGTTTTGAACTGCCAGCCACACGGAACGCAGCTCAACGCATAACCACTACACCACCACGGTGACTCTGTGAGACTGAGAATCGTTATAGGAGCAGAAGTCTCATCTTTTTCCCTCAGAGAGGCTGGTGGTTTCAAACTGCTGACCTTGCGATTAGCAGCCCAACTTATAAGCCACGATGTCACCAGGGTTCTTTATCATTGGCTGTAGGACATGCCATTATCTTATATAGCACTAAGAAAGAAAGAAAAATGCTGCCCTTTAAACTGTGACACACCATCCTTTGGAAAGAAGAAAGGAAGGAAGGAAAGAAGGAAGGAAAAGAAGCCCCATTTCAGAGATATTAAAATAGGAAATCAAAATACTTGAAATATCTTTTAAAGAAAATTATGGGATGTTAAAATAGGGTGTAATCTTGGAAGTAGCCAGGGTAACAGACAAGAGAAGGTTCAGCCCACTTACGTTTTCGCAGATAGTTACTGAGGAGCAGTGAGGTGGAATGGATTTTCCAAAGCTGCGTAGCTCATCATTGGGAGAGTCAGTTCTAGAATTCAGATTTCCTTACTTTCTCTTAGAATTGCTCTCCTGCCCCTATGCTGCTGTGCCACGGCTCTTCTCCCTAACATTCATTTGAGATAGAGTGCACTGTGCCCATTTTAGATACTGAATTTCAGAGGCAGGAAAGGCAGACCTGACATGCCAAGCAGCATGTGGCAAATAGCAGATCTATAATAATGCTTAGCTGCTAGATAAGATGGGGCTGGGTGGCAAGGTTTCTAGGAGGAGGAAGAGATGTGATGCAGTTTGACAGTCATGAGTGACTTCCTCAAAATCTGATTCCTGTAACTTGATTTTGAGCTCCGGAAGTCACAAACATTCAGACTACAAACTCAGATTTTCAGGGGCCTGTGCGAGTAGTGGGCTACCAGGACAAGAGAGACGACAGCCTCAAAATTGTCACCAAATGCCACCTTCCACTTTGCTCTCAGAGTTCTCCACGTGCTCACGTGCACATAGAAGGGGGTACCCCCCCAAAACCAGAATTTTTCCACCCAAAGCTATGCATTAAAAGTTTTTTTACAAAACAACCGTGTCACCTTCAAAGTACTCTCCATTACACTTAATACATTTGTCAAATCTGCGATCCCATTCTTGGAAACATTTTTCAAACTCGTCTGTTTGGATGACTGACAGCACCTCCCTCGGTTTTTCTTCACCTCTTCTGCATCATCAAATCACTGTCCATTCATGTCCCTCTTCATTTGCTGAAACAAAAGAAGCCCCAAGGAGCAAGGTCAGGTGTGTAGGGCAAGAGAGGCATGGTGTTTTTTGTCAAAAACTGGTGGCTGTGTGTGTTCGATGGTGTCTTCTAGAGAAACAAAAACCGGACACTTAATGATTTTATATATATATAAATGACTTTATATATATATAAACATATAAATGATTTAATATAGATATAGATATATATAGGCTTATACAGCAAGAAGGAATGTAACAGCTAACTAGTCCATACAGCAGTACAGAGGGTAAAGTTGAACTCACTTCTGTGAACAGTTGATATACTGGAAGTCCTTCAAGTCACCTGGGCTGCCTATTCCAAGGTCAAGGAAGCAGACAGCAGAGTCCTCCCAGGAGCAAGGCAAATAGAGTCTGTGGGTCACCAACAGTCAGTAGCTTGGGAGCTTAGTGAAGCAGGCCAGGAAGGGATATCGAATGCAAGCAATGCAAGGGGACAGAATCCACCAGCCTCAAGCTCAGCGATGTACGCACCAGCAGCTTGATGAAGCAGGTGTCGAAGGAGCCTCGAGCTCTAGCGACATGATCCGTGGATTGGCCTGGCCCACAGGTAGTGTAGCTCCCAGGTTGAGGCAGAGAACTAGCTACAGCAGCAGCACACATGCTCCAGCACGCTCCGATCACCAGAGAACAAGAGGGGGGTGGGCCGTACAGAGCCATTTATCTCTTTGCCCTCTAGTCAAACTGCGACCTGATTAATCCTGCATGTTCTTATAGGCCAGGTTGGCACAATAAACATATCACACTTTGTGAGCAGGTGCGTTGTTGTGTTGGCAAAACCAGTCCCATCTTCCAAAAATCAGGCCTTTTTGTGTTGCATACTCTTCGGCAATCTTTTCAGAACCTCTTAATAGAAAGCTTGATAACAGTCTGATCTGGCGGAATGAACTCCAAATGTACTATGCCCCTCAAATGAGCATCATCCTGATCTTTCATTTCACTTTATGAGATGTTTGGGGGCGAGGTGATGATGCCATTTTCCACTGGCTTGATTGATATTTGGTTTTGAGGTCCTCAGAATGGCTCCCTGTCTCCTCACCAGTAATGGCCTTGGGGGAAAGTCTGGGTTGCTTCAGCTGTTCTTTCAGAGCACGGCATGTTTCCATGAGGTGCTCCTTTTCCTGGTCAGTCAGGACCCGAGGCACAAACTTCACAGCGACCCTTCTCATCCCCAAATCTTCTGTGAAAACTCACTGACCCGAGCTCCAAGATAGTCCAGATAACGTCCCCATCTCTTCACTGGTCCTCGTCGTCGTCATCGGCCTTCAAACACAAGCGCACGGATTTTGTAGACATTTTCATCCATGACAGACGTCCTGAACGAAGTTTGTTTATCAGTCAACATTTCACCATTTTTGAAATGAAAAAACTACTTGCACACTTGAGTTTTTCCCATAGTGCTGTCCTTGTAAACTGTGTTCAACATCACAATTTCCGTGGCATCCCCCCCCCCCCCGAAGAAACAAAATTTCACAGCCACATGCTGTTCTCTGAAATCGGCCATCCCAAAAAACCAGATTCTAGTAAAACTGCTTTTATGGGAAAATTCACTTGACCAGAGATAACGTTCCCAGGTGACACCAATGCTTGCCTAGTGGGAAAAATGGGCACTACGCTAGCTCTGCCCAGTGGAGCTCCCCCCCACTTTTTTTGTGGGTGTATCCTCTTGTAAAAATCCCTTTCATTAAGGCCCTTTTCATTGCATAGTCCTCTTTGCAAATCTTCGTTGGCTTGCCTGCCTGGCTCTAACTTCATCTCTCCCACACACCCTGGGCATCCTGTACTCCCAAGTACAGGAATAACTTTCACTTCTCCCATGGACCCAGGCTGCCTTCAGCTGCCCCTTTACCAAGGCCAACTCTGCCTTTCCTTGTTGCCCTTCATCACGTGGCCCTCCTCCTTCCCCTGTGCCCCGGCAAGCAAGCGTGTTGTGTCATTTAGACAATGACCTGGAGGAGACGGGCATCTCTGCGTCTCCTCTGTTTCTGGTGTGAACCTGAAGGAGCTACACAGAGGGGCCATGTGGCTGTGGTGCTGTGGAATGAGCACTGGGTTTTTAATGACCGAATTTGTGCTCATTCGAAAGCTGTCCCCTTTAACTAGGCAAGTCACTATCGCTTCTGAATCTGTGTCCTTATTGCTAAAATGGGGTGAGACCTACATCAAAGACTTGTCGATTTAAAGAAATTGCACCGGTGATGAGAAAGTCATGCGCTTTCTTGGTTGCTTTATTTATTTAAATGACAGAGGGCACGTGGTAGAATAGTACTGTGCTGAAGAGCATAAACAAGCTAGAGTGCTGTGGCTGTTGGCGGTCGAGGGAGGAAGACAGCGTGGAGGTGCTGTGCTGTTTCCCAGGCGATCCTCATTCCGGGATCAGCTCACCAGGAGAGCCATTGGTAGGTCAGCAGTCTAGTGCTTCACCGGGCTCCTTGGAACTAGGCTGCGTGGTTCACGTTACCAAGTGGCAGTGCCTGCCATTCACTTGGGCAAGTGTCTTTCATGGCTCTCTCTTTTTTTAATCTGTTAAAAAAAAGGGAGGGGAGCTGTTAAAAATC